AATATGGACGGGGCAGCGGTGCAAAGATGCTGGCTACAAAACTGACGGCAAGTGCCCAAGATGTTCCAAAGCGGCCGACACGATCAAGCACAGGATCTACGAGTGCGAAATGAATGACAACTTGAACATAGAGGCCGTCGTCAAGTCACAGTCGCTGTGCAAGCGTGCACTGGAAGAAATGTATAACGACCCTGACACAGAGGCGTTCTGGCTACGCGGACTACTTCCTCAACACCGCAACCCAGTCCCATCGGCGCCGGCTTGGGGATCATGGAGTGGAAGTTATTGGACAACGGCCACGGCAGGAACCAAAGTATATTCGCAGGAGCTGGTCACCATCAACCCCGTATGTTGCGCGATTGCCTTCGTGGATGGATCAGGCACAAGCAATGACAAGCGCATCAACAGAGTGGGATGGGGACTTACACTTCAGCTACGACAGGGACCGCCAGAACATAGACCAGGACAAGAGCGACTGTGGTGCCAAGACGCACTCTTGGAACAGGGGAGCCTCTCTGAGGCTGTTCGGGACCCTCACCCGATGGGCGTCCAAGCCACGAGTGGGTCTTCGTATGCCATGTTGGACTTCGGCGAAAAAAACCCTGCCCAGAGTGACGGCACACCACAGATGGGGAGCCCTTCGGGTGCTCGTCGGGACGTCAGCCCGCTGGACGCAATACCCACGGATGGATCTTCGTACGCCACGTTGGACTTCGGCGAAAATACCCCAGCAGGTCGCACGGAAATGGGAGGCCAAGTGAAGCAAGTACCGACCGACGAGACCACGGAGCAGCTGCACAAGGATGTGATGAATGACCTCGGAGTCTGGGCAGCGACTTGGACAGTATTCATTGATAGCGACGAAGTTCGCAACCACGACAGCTAGAAACTATGGTGCGAGCCGTGCATGAAGCAGTTCCTACGCCAACCAGAACAAGCGTGCCTCTTGCAGTTTCTCAAAGCACGGTACCAGACCCGCAGCAGCAGCCAGCTCGCCAAAGATCTATGTGACATCAGATGGCGCACCTCCAAGAGGCGGCGCAAGGATGTATATGACTACTACCTCACGCTCCAAGGATGGGAAAGACAAGCTTACGTCCAACACTGGTTTGACAGCGTCGCCGAAATTAAAGAGAAGTTTCGACAGCTCCTACGCGACCAGGCACCCACCCTCGAAGATGAGTTTCCTGAGTATTGTGATGATAGCGATACGGTAATGGACATGAAGAACCCAAGCTACGTCACGCACGTCCTCAATGTGAACAATCAGATCGACATCAGCAACGGCGTCATTGCAGATGCCCACCATATCGGTTTCTACGGCACGGTGGATGGATAACAGAGTGTACCTGCAGCAGAACATGCGGGATTGTTTTGGGCCTTGGCGCTGACGAAAGGGCCGATTACCATCTGCACTGACTGCCAGCAAGTTGTGAATGGTTGGACCCAGCGGTTTTACGAACATCCTCAAGGTGCCTTGAAGGAATGGTGGGGGCGTATCGGTGCTATGATCAAGAAGCGGCCTGGTGGAGTACATCAGGTGGTTATTATCAAATGTTTATCTCATCTTGACCATGAATCAATCAAGCAGTCCAAACAAGATTTCCAGATCAGCCTTGGAAATGAAATGGCAGATACTCTTGCGCAACGTGGAGCTGAAGAGGCCATGAACGATATACGTGAGGAGATCAAGCAGCTTACTGATGTGGAAACATTGTTGATGCGTGTCCAGCGTCGTGCGGCCGCCATCATCTTCAACATGTGCAAGGACGCGGACCCAACCAAGCTGGACAGGCCCAAGCAGCAGCGGCACAAAGCGTTCCACTTACGGCGTGAGCAGCGCCTCCAGCTACAAGAAGTTTCTGGACATGATATGAAAACAATGAACGGACGTTGGGTCTGCCAAGAGTGTTGGACAACTCCAGGCAAGTATAGTCGTTTTGATTGGTTGAGAACCACTGTTTGTATTGGACGGCAGTATGCAGTACACCGAGCTGGTCATGGGCATGCAGTACAGGTACCCAACAATGAGATGATTGAAATTCAAGGTAAAGTGATCCACCCGAGCCACTCGATTTCTGTTGCTCATGGGCAGTTCTGGTGTTGGAATTGCGCAGCGGTGGCGTCGCACAATGATGAAGGACATGGGCGTGTATCCCTTCTGGCAGCGAAGTGCAGAGAGCAGATCGCGCAGAGTGGCCAGACAGTTCTCCGACGTCTACGCCAAGGGTTGCCCCCTAAGGCTGGCCAGAACTGGCCAGATGGCACGGTGCCGCCCAACGGCGGCAAGCTACCACGAGTCGCAGCTGGGCGTCGTCAACCTGTGGCTGCTGAGCGGCGACAACGTGGGTGAGTACGCGGCTCGGGGCTTCGGCCCCGCAGAGATACTCTGCCCTGGAGAGGCAGTGAGGTGGAGGCCCGCCCTGTCTCTGGGGCTGGCTCGCGACCTCACGGGGCAGCTGCCCCCAGCTGCCCCGCTGCTCTACTCTGCCCTGGAGTGGCAGTGAGGTGGAGCTCGCCCTGTCTCTGGGGCTGGCTCGCGACCTCATGAGAGCCTGCGCAGCGTGCGCGGGCGCAGGGGCCGCGGCGGCGGAGTCGACCGCGGTGCCCTCTGCTCTCGAGTCCTCGAGTCCCTCCCTCCCTCCCTCCCTCCTTATCCTCCTCCTCCTCCTCCTCCTTCTCATTGTCCTCCTCCTGGTTCCTCTCTCCTCCTCCCTTTGTTTTTTCCCTCTTTCCTACTCCTTCTCTTCCTTTTCCTCCTCATTATCCTCATCCTCTTCCTCCTCTTCCTCCTCCTCCTCCTCCTCCTCCTCTTTCTCTTCCTTGTCCTCCTCCTCCTCCTCCTCCTCCTCTCCCCCCCTCCCTCCCTCCTCCCTCCCCCTCCTTCTCCTCAGGTTCCTCCTCCTGTTTCCTCGCTCCTTCTCACCTTTTTTCCTCTCTCTTTCCTACGCCTTTTCTTCCCTTTTCCTCCTCTCCTCCTCATCCTCTCTCCTCCTCCTCCTCCTCCTCCTTCTCTCTCCTCCTCCTCCTCCTCCTCCTCCTCCTCCCTCCTCCTCCTCCTCCTCCTCCTCCTCCTCCTCCTCCTCCTCCTCCTCCTCCTCCTCCTCCTCCTCCTCCTCCTCCTCCTCCTCCTCCTCCTCCTCCTCCTCCTCTTCCTCATCCTCATCCTCCTCCATGCCTATTCCTCGTTCGTAACTCTTCTCCGTCGCGCCCTGAGGCTGGTCGGAAGGGTGGGCCGTGCGTTTCGCTTAAGACTTTGCTACCGTGTTCGAGCATGTGCTGTAGCACGGAGGGCGGGCCGTTTTCAAAATGTGGCTTTCGCCTCGGCGCCGCGCGCACTCTGTTGATCAAGGGCAGGTCGCTTTCAAAGTGCGGCTCTCGCCTGAGTGCCGCGCACCTTCGTGCTAAACATATGCAAGGGCTTCACGGGTTGAGGGCGGTTTCTTTTCAAACGGTAGTTCCCGCTCTCGCGCCGTGCACATTGTTTCTGACGATGACACTTGCAACAATCCCACGGTTTTCATCGTCAGCGTACCTGAAATTGTGTTTTGGAGTTGCTAAGGGCTGTCAGGGCGCAACAGTTACGCTCATTCGCGGCGATGGATTCCCAGGAATGGTGCCCTGACACGGTTCAGGATCCTCAAGACGCAACGGTCACGTTGACTCGTGGCGTTGAAATTAGTTCTGGGAATGGTGTTTTGGCGTGCTTCCGGATTTTCACACGGTTGCCTCCCAGCGAGGCATTTTCCTTTGGAGATGAATGCTTGTAGGGGCCTGTGAAAAGGAAGCTTGGAGGGAGGCTGCATTCAAACATAGTTGATGAATCTTGGGTTTGCACTGGTCCCCCTCCTCCTCCTCCTCTTCCTTCATTTCCTTCTCCTCCTCCTCCTCCTCCTTTTCCTCCTTCTCCTTCTTTTCCTCCTCCTCCTTCTCCTTCTTTTCCTCCTCCTCCCCCTCCCCCCCCTCCTCCCCTCCTCCTCCTCCTCCTCCCCCTCCTCCTCCTTCTCCTCTTCTGCTCCTCCTTTTCCTCCACCTCTTCCACCCCTTTTCCTTCTGAGTTCCTCCCCCCCTGTCACACCCCGAGTCCTGTCGAAACGGAGGGCCGGGCGTGTTGTTTGGGACTTCCGCACAACGTGTGACCCTGAAGCTTAGAAAGTGGCAGCGGTTTCGCAGATGGAAGGCGGGTCGTTTTCATTCAAAATGTGGCTCTCGCCTAAGTGCCGCGCACATTCGTTGTAAACATGTGCAAGAGCTTCACGGATTGAGGGCGGGTCGTTTTCAAAATGTGGCTCTCGCCTTGGCGCCGCGGGTATGGGTTAACAGTAAACATTTGCAAGAGTTTCACGGACTAAGGGCGGGTCGTTTTCAAAATGTGGTTCTCGCCCCAGCGCCGCGCACAGTCGGTTTAACCATTTGCAGAAGCTTCACGGACTGAGGGCGGGTCGTTTTCAAATTGTGGTTCTCGCCGTGGCGCCGCGCACATGCCTCGAACAAGCTTGCAAGTGCTTCATGGATTGAGGGCGGCTTGTTTTCAAAATGTGGTTCTCGCCTTGGTGCAAACGAAATATTTGAAAATTTTCTGCGGAATCCTATGGTCAACGTGCCAGAGACAGTGTTTTGGAAGGATTCAGGATTGTAAGGGTGCAGCCTTCTGCGTTGGTTCGTGGTGTTGAAGTCCCAGGAATTGTGTTCTGACAGGCTTCATGATCGTCAAGACGCAACAGTCATGTTGAATCGTGGCGTTAAAGTGATGGGAATGGTTTTGTGGCACGCTTCAGGCTCTTGAAGCGGTTCTTTCCCAGCGAGGCGTTTCCTTCAATGGAAATGAAATTTGGTAGGGGTCTATGAAGAAGGAGCTTGAAGGGAGGGTTCACTTCAAGATCGTTGATGAGTCTTGGGTTTGCACTGGTCCTCCTCCTCCTCCTCCTCCCCCTCCTCCTTCTCCTCCTTCTCCTCCTCCTCCTCATCATCATCATCCTTCTCCTCCCCCGCGGCCCGAGATCGACTTCGCGTCCGAGCCGCGCCTCATGAGCACGCGCGACTTCTGGGGCCACTGGTGCAGGCGGAGCGCCCGCGGCGCCGCAGCCGGACGCGGGCCGAAGTGGCAGGCCGTGAGCACGGAGGACCTTCGCCCCAGCTCTCGGCCCTTTCGGAGGCACCCGTCCCTGTTTTGAGCCGGCCGGGTGGCCGAGGCGGCCCAGCTCTGGATCCGGTCAGCAGCAGGAGGGGGGGGGACAAAGGGGGCCCCTCGTCGCCGCAGTTGGGCGCGGCTAGAACACCTTGTCTGTTTCGGCCACGGGAGGGCCCAGGGGCCGATTCTGAGCGGATGTGTCCTCAGCGCCCCAGCGCCCTCTCTTGCCCAATCTTCTCGGGGCCCCTCGTCGCCAGAGCTGGGCGCGGCTAGAACACCTTGTCCGTTTCGACCACGGGAGGGCCCAGGGGCCGATTCTGAGCGGATGTGTCCTCAGCGCCCCAGCGCCCTCTCTTGCCCGATCTTCTCGGGGCCCCTCGTCGCACACCTTGTCTGTTTCGACCATGGGAGGGCCCAGGGGCCGATCTTGAGCGGATGTGTCCTCAGCGCCCCCTCTTTGCCCGATCTTCTCGGGGCCCATCCTGCGCAGACCCCGCGGGCGGCTCCCAACCCTCGGGCAGCGGCCGGTGAGGCAGCGGAGGGGGACCGAGTGACGCCAGCCAGCACGAGTCGCCTGGTTTTCCAGCCAGGCGGAGCGCACTTGACCGCCAGTGGTCACCACCCACCAAACCACCCCAACCCAACCCGAAGGCCCAAATTTATCCTCGATTTCCAGTGGGGGGGGGTCGGGGAACGTTGAAAAAACACATGGTATCCGTACCCCCCCCAACCGGAAATTCGGGTCAAATTCGGGTCTTCGGGTTGGGTTGGGGTGGTCTGGTAGGTAGTCAAGTGGGGAGATGATTCCAGTCGAGCATCTGCTGAAGAAGCCTCCTACCGAAAAGCTGCGCCAGCGTTCCTTAAACAACTTGCCGGACAGCTGTCCCAGCTTCTTGAGCACGCTCGCCCCTCATGCATCAACAGCAGGAGTCGGCCCGGGTCTGTTTCGAAACATTTCGGGTAAGGTTCTGATCTCTTAAATGAGAGCTATGTTGATCACCCTTTCGGATCTATCACCGTGGACGAAGCAGGTCCTGAGGGAGGGGGGTTCCTTGGGCCATCCACGGGCCCCAGGGTATCCAGAAAAAACGGCGCATGGTGTAATGCTGGCCCTGGGGGGACGGCACCCCCAGACAAGACGGAAACCCAGCGCAAAGTTCCAAGAAGGGTTTCGAGGCAGGTTCCGTTCGATTTCGCAGATAAGCGACGCTGCCTCTTGCAATCTTCTTTTTACAGCGGGGTCCCTAATCCAAGTTGAGTCGGTTTTGGAACGCGGCGACGTCTCCAGCAGAACTGGAGGAAATCCGAACGCGATTGCGCCGAGTGCGATGAAACTCGGCACGATCCCGCTGCGGTCCTGCGCGCCCTCTGAAGGAACGCGCATTTTCCATGGTATTCGTTGGTACAGATTTGAAATGTTGTCTTCCTCGTACTTGATAGAAGATGCATTGGGCGTAAGTTGTCGCAGCGCCTTGTTTGAAGGATACTCGCGACCACTTGGGACATACCACCCCCTTGATTAGAAAAGTGGTGATCGGCATCATGCGAGGAAACAGCCCTTGTGTCTTCGCCAATCGATAAAGCCTCGGGTTTCGACCTTCGATCGATCCCAATATGATTCCCAGACAGGCTCGTGACCCGAACGGAAGAAAAGCGTCGAAGGGGTGGACGAGACGCGTGGTTGTCAGGAGGGCTCAAACGAAATCGCCACTTTCTGGCGGCGTGAAAAGCAGCCGGAAAAAAAAAACAAAAACGTGAGACATTTTCAGGCGACGTCGCAACTCTCAATCGGCATGAAGATCGTTTTGGATTTGTCTGAGGGAGTCCCACGCGAAATCGCCGTTTTCGTTTGCCATGGCAAACTCTCCGATCGCCCTAGAAGGCGATCTGACAGTTTTTGTTGAGGACATCTCAGGCGGAATCGCATTTTCAGACGCTGACCCCACTTGGCCTTTCTACTATTCCGAAATTCCCAAACCAAGCCCAACTCCAACATTGTCCTGGGGCCCCGCGGCCTAACGGGAGGCCAACCGTGCCTTTCTCCTTGCTCTCACTGGCTCAAGCTGCCCCAGCACAGCAACTGTGGCAGATGCGCCTGCGTACTCGGGATGGCGGAAAGGTGGCGAGCTGCTTCTGCGCGCCCGAGTTGTCTGGCCAGCGCCGGTGCTTCTCTTTTCGGCCAAGAGCCAGCGCGATTTTCAGGAGGGAAAGAAACACACAGACACAATTAATCGTCGACTCCCAGGAAAATATGCAAAAATATGGGAAGTGGTGGGGAAGACAAAAACCCAGAAAATATAGGAAAATATGGGGGATATTTTTATTTGTGTGTATTTATTTGTGTGTTCCAGTTCCCCTTCAGATTTGCGCGTTGTTTGTGCGGGCCGCTGTGCGTCAGCTCGTAGTAGAGGGACGCAGCGCCGGCGGGCCGACGATATGAGCGCGGGCAAGCAGGCTTGCGCAGCGGCCCTGCTGGGCGCGCATGCGCTGCACCTCTCAGGAGGGAAAGAAACACACAGACACAATTAATCGGCGATTCCCCAGAAAATATGGGAAAATATGGGAAGTGGGGGGGAAGACAAAAACCCAGAAAATATAGGAAAATATGGGGAATCTTTTTATTTGTGTGGATTTATTTGTGTGTCCTGGGGCCCCTTTAACCTCGTGCGCCGACTCTACGTGTGGATATTTGGGCATGGTCTCGCTGTCAGGGATGCCGTTGTCAACGAGTCGCGCTCTGCAGGGGGGGGCCGCCGCGACCTGGCGCTGAAGCGCGCGGGGGCGCTGGCAGGCAGCGCCTTTCACTGGGGCGGCGCCACGTCGCTGGAGGTGAACGCTACTTGCGCATGCCCGACAGGACAGCGCGGGGCGCCCAGGAGGAGCGCCGCGCGCGCGCGAAGGCCCAGGTGCGCCGCGCGCGCGACGCGCCTTCCAGAGCCGCCGTCTCAGTCATGATTGGTGTTTGCGACGGCGATCGCCCCCTCGCAGCCCCCCCCCCTTCATTTCGCGACGACGCAATTGCTCGCGCTGGGCGAATCCCATCGGCCGACAAGGGTCTCGATCCTGCTCGACCGCGGAACAGCGCCCGTCGAGCCTGCGCCCCCCGTCCCCTCCTCTCGCGGCGACGGCGACCTGGGGCATCCTGGGGCGAAGTTCACGCGGCGCTGTCGGCAAAGGAGCAGGGCCCCGACGATGGCGGCGCCGCGCGGTCGAGTTTGCTGGATCTCTTCAAGGCCATGGATCTCTTCAAGGCTATCCCCCCCCCCCGCGGTCCATGGTAATCCTGGCCAGAAGTTGAAGACTCACGAGTCGCGCCTTGGCTGGTCAACGCTAGATTCGCAGAGGGGAGGTTCGCCAGTTTGGCCCGCGTGGGCGGGAAGAAGCGAAAACAATACAACATACCGTGAAGTCACAGACAGTGGATTGGGGGCTCTGCTGTGCCTCGGGGCAGAGGTCTATGGGCGCTGGGGTCGCCAGTGTGTCGAACTAGTTCCCAGGCTTGCGATGGCACGGGCTCAGGGGATGCACCCGCAGATTCGGCGCGGATTTGCCTTTGGTTTACAGCACAGGTGGTGGGGGATCCTCAGTGTTGCATTGCACTCAGCAGTGGCACGGGCTGTGTACTACGAGATGTGGCAGGTCTCCCAACCACACAACTGGAGCCTCCCCCCGCGTTTGGGGATCTGGAGGTCGGGCAATCGTGAGGGGCGCTCTCCTCCCCCTCCTCCTCCTCCTCCTCCTCCTCCTCCTCCTCCTCCTCCTCCCCCTCCTCCTCCTCCTCCTCCTCCTCCTCCTCCTCCTCCTCCTCCTCCTCCTCCTCCTCCTCCTCCTGTTGCGCTACTTAGTGCGACAGCCGGCCCTACGCTCTAGGCGTGCAGGGCGGTTTCATTCCGGCAGCTTTGCACTGTCCTCCGTTGTCGGCGTATTGATGCGTGGGTGGAAAAAAAGTCGCATCTTCCGCGCGCGTTGCATTCTTGCGCGCGGCGAGAAATTCGCAACCCCAGGAATATTCGCATCGACTGCGCCGGGGGCCCCGCGGCAACCCGGGGGGGCCGGGTGGCCGCGATTAACACGGCCATCGCGATGACCTTCGACTCGCGGGCACGATCGCGGCAACCTGTCTGGCGCGCGCGCTCGCGGCGCACGGGCGCGCGCCGCGCTCGGGCCAGCGCGTGGACATTGGGGCGCGGCGCTGCCTATCCGGACGCCGTCGCCGACCTTGCCCCCATGGAAAGCGCGCGGCGCAGCGCGCGCTGTGCAATTTGTAACGTTGCGTTTTTTTTTTTCCAGTGGCACCGCCGAGCGCGTCGGGGCCCCGCCGCGGGGCCTCCGGCGACTCGGGGCCACCGGCGTCGCGGCCTCGGCGGCGAGGGCCAGCGGCTGGCCCCCCCTGGTGGTTGGAGGCCGCCCTCGGCCGTTCCCTTCCCCAGAGAGGGTCAGTCTGGGCGACTCGGTGCGAGCGGGCCCAGATCCCCCCATCGCGCGCGCCTGCGCGTGCGCGCGCGAGTTATGCGCGCGTGTGCGTGTGTGTGTGCGTGTGTGTGTGTGTGTGTGTGTGTGTGTGTGTGTGTGTGTGTGTGTGTGTGTGTGTGCGTGTGTGTTTGTGTGCGTGTGCGTGTGTGTGTGTGTGTGTGTGTGTGTGTGTGTGTGTGTGTGTGTGTGTGTGCGTGCGTGTGTGTGTGTGTGTGCGTGTGCGTGTTTGCGTGTTTGCGTGTTGTGTGTGTGTGTGTGAGTGTGTGTGTGTGTGTGTTTGTGTGTGTTTTTGTGCGCGCGCGTGTGTGTGTGTGTGTGTGTTCGTTCGTGCGCGTGTGTGCGTGTGCGTGTGTGTGCGCGTGTGTGTGTGTGTGTGTGTGTGTGTGTGTGTGTGTGTGTGTGTGTGTGTGTGTGTGTGCGTGTGTGTGTGTGTTTCTGCGCGCGTGTGCGGGGTTGTGCGTGCGTGCGTGCGTGCGTGCGTGTGTGTGTGTGTGTCTGTGCGTGTGTGTGTGTGTGTGC